ATTCCTGCATTTCCTTGGTCAGCACAGTTTTTCACAATTATCCCAACTTCCTGGCAATACTGTGGAATACAACTGTAAGGAGAATTCTGCTTCTTGCACTGCTTTTCAAAGGGCAGCTGTTCTTTAAAAGACAAAAGAAAAAAGGACAACAGAACCAATCCTTCCCCATCACCTTATTTATTTAAGGTCTTTTCAAAGCTTTGGGCAACACCTGGTGTGCAAGAAGACATAACAGAGAGTATTTTCCAAGAAGCTCTGCGGGATAGATAAATACTGACCTTCTGATACACTGCTCTGTGACACGCTGTAGTTTGCTGAGAATCCCTCCTTTGCTATTGCACTGTCAGTGTAAAATACCATTGAAAGAATCCCTGTTGAAGACCGGACACGTCCTGGGTTGTTTTGCCCACAATAACGCCCTATGTGTGGGCCAACTGCAAAGAGACAGGATACAATAGTAAACTACCAGTTCTACTATAACAATAGATGCCACTACAATATCCTCCCAAAGAGACTCCCTCAGCATGAAACAGTGAACCTCTGCAACAGTTCAAAATGACAATGGTGAACAATAAATTGTTTATCCTACCCTAGCAATCTTACTTCTAAAATGCTTCAGATTGCACTCCGCAAACCTCTGGAAATGTAAAGAACCAGGATTTCAAAAAAATAACCTTTAAAGTGTGCAGAGAGGGCAATGATGTGCAAAATAACATGTACAAAACACCACAAGTATTTTCCAAAGTGTGATTGAAGTACCTATTTATGACAAGAACAACTGAATGGCCTGATTTGCCCACCCAGTATGCAGGATGCTCTGAGGAGCTCAAATACCACCTTTAGGTTTTATGATCAATACTGCAGATATTATTTTAATCATATAGTGAACTCAGAAAACCATTTTTGCACTCATATTGAGGCAATGACCACTAACTCTTTATCCCTCCCATTTAGGCTTTCAGCACACCCTCCTAGGACTTTTGCCCATATGCTCAGTATTAAAGAAAACTGTAAAAGAATTCAAGAGGAAAATCTTAATCCTTTCAAATGAGCAAGGATTTCTTAAGTATATCTCCATGTCATAGAATATACACACATACACTCACACAAACACACACACACACATACATGATCTGAGTGTTAATAATATATAAACCAGATTCTGATATTTTTCAGGATTTCCTATGCAGTGAGACAATCTTTTTCCTTAATTAAGCTACTCAATTCACAACCAACATATGTGGCCTTCTAGCACTTGAGCATTCCCTACAGATAGGTCCCTAGGCTGTTGAATAGTGGTACATCTGTGCTTACAAACAATAAGAAAAGATAATGCTAAAACCCACCCATGGAGTCAATCATGAAAATAATCATGAGGCATCATTCTAATGCTTACACCACTGGCTTTCCAGGCTTAAATTAACACCTTGTCATTTCTCTAGGAAGTCCATTACACTTTCAGTTTAAAATATAAAATGTTTATATATCCTAATTATTCACAGTTCAAAGAAAATCTACAGCTAACATAATTTTCTAGTCATTTATTGGCATTTTCCAACAAGTAAAACAGTTCCAGCTTGGAATAAGTTTATTATGTAAGCTACACATTTCTGTAAGGCCCTAGAGTTGCCAGAAAGAGGGAGCTCAGATGTTATAGCTCTTGCTGCCAGCATGTGCTTTTCTATCCATATTCTGGCCACAGTTAGTCTTCAGTTGCCTTGGCAATCCCATGGCATTTTAAATACCTGCCAATTCAGCTTTTTTTTCACCAAGGTTGTTCAATGCTGTATTGATAGAATGAAACACCCTATAGAAGGTATGAGTTGAATTCTTCCTCATCCTATAAATCATTAAAGCTTTACAGTTTTATTATTTGGAGAGAGAAATTTGGTTTAGACTGTTACCATTAGTGGCTTTTTAAAAACACAAAATAATGCCCTCATTCCAATTACTGCATGGTTTATTTTGGAGGGGTTGTTGGCTTGTGTATTTGTTGTTTTGTTTTTGCCTTCTTTTGCAAACAGTTCTGATCCTGCTCTTTCCTATGATGGCTTTCAACATTATAGCTGCTGATGTTGCTCTGAACTGCAAGAAAATAAGGAGGATAAGTCCATGATGTTATGGCACTCTGAGCCTCCCTCCTCCCATTTCCTTTATGGAAGCCTCTTTGAAATGACAAACAGAAGAGAACTTTGTTTAAAGCAGACTGGCTTTAAGATTCCCCATGACTCACTGGTTTATAATTTTTAAGACATACTTAGTGATTCTGCATTTGAGTCTTCAATAGATTGGCCCTGCTGTCACAGTACTATTCCCTTTGCTAGCTATGCAGATGCAAGAGCCAAAACATTTCAGAATATGACACAAAGAGGTATTGAATTTTTTTTAACACCACGTAAACCTTAGCCTGTTGATCTAATATGATATTGATCTGAGCACAACTGGGTGAAATAGAGATCCTCATTCTTCTTCTATAAATAGCTAACAGAAAGTTCTCCTTTTTATTCCATTCAAGTCTTGAAAACTTTTGAATGACAATAAATTATCAAATACTTCGGGTGTCACCACATCAAATAAATGCTGTGCAGGGAACACCACCTGAGCAGCCACTCAAGGGGTGACACTGCTGTCTGCTTAGGTAGACTATGCCACTGCTTTTTTTTACCATCTTCCTGACCATTCCTTAGGAAACGAGATGGGTTTTAGATAATAGACCATATACAGCTCTAAATGGGAATTTTAGGGCAGCAGGAGCTGAAAAGTCATTAGGCCTAGAAAGCTCTGCAATCTCTACCTGTAGCCCATCATGTTGCTATGTCAGCATCCTCCAGGAAGGCCTACTCCAAATGTGAGTCACTTGGAAATGCCCTCACAAGTCATTTCAGGTTAAAAGATGGAGGGACAACTAAGAAACCTGTTTTGCAAACATCTCCAAAAATGCATAGTCTAATTCTAGACCTTGAATAAATCCTTGATTATTCTTAAAACGTATGTTTGAAGGTTTACAGATCTGAGTGTGGAACATATAGGATGTGGCTGGTGGTTTAAGACTAAACAGACACCTTATCCTTACTGATTCTTCCTTTTCTACTGTTTGCCCTTCTGGAGAAAGAATATCCATATCAGAAAACTCTGAGACTTACTATAATATGTATTTGCCCATTTAGTTGAAATGTTAGCTTTTGGAATCAGTTAAGAGAACCCCAACAAAACACAAGTAAGGAAAATGTATATCAGACCTCTAAAATATTAAAAGAAATGTTATGTTAACTGGCCATTTTACTGAATTTTAAAGCTGCTTTTTGCAAATATACTGGTGTGTCATGGACAGTATTTTCACTGCAGTATGATTATAATTGACAAAACATTTGCACACAATTTAGGATGTTAAAATTAACTAAGGAAAAATTAATCCCTTCCTTACAGTTAAGTAGTCACCTACACTGAGCTTGTGCATGCTCTTATGCCTTAATAGCTTCTCACAAGAGTGTAGAAAGCAACCACAACAGGGGAGAAACACACTTAGATTAATAGCAACCTTCATTTGCACTGATGTTAACAACTGCAGTAAAGCATTCTGCTTTGCTCTGTAATTCAGTGGAAGCTCTTGTGGTATTGACTGATGCAGCAATGCTTAGGCTGTGGTTCTCAAACCATATGTAAACTTCTTTAAATTACTTTTGAGCCCTAGTAGACAATCTATGGAGCTTCAAAGAGAGCTGCATGATGAATATGTGCAATTCATCACTTAAGCTAGCACTCATTTTGAGTGGGCTATTTTTCTTCAAAGTCATCAATGAACTGTTCTCAGCAGAGCCTTGGGCAAAGATATTTTTGGTGTCTAGTTTATTCATGCAAAACCACATATTTCTATTCTGAAATCTACTCACTCTCCTGCTCAAAATCCACTCATTACCTCCTTCAAACCATGGTCCCATTTCTGCACCATATTTGCAACATGGACCTGTAGTTCCCTAACATTCTCCAACAGGGTTTGTTTCACTTATTGCTTTGTTTTAAAGAAGAGGCCAAAGGGTGCCCTTGGCATGCAATTATGCAGAAACAAAATGCCAGGTTTGAAGCATTCCTGAATGCCTACCATTCCACTCTTGAACAAGCAAAGCACTTACACTACTGTTGAACTTAAATCCTGTAAGTGTCCTTGGTGAATTCCTTTTGAAGTCAATCTAACTGCTCACATGCTTCAAAGATAAGCACATGTTTTGCAGATCAAGATGCAAGTGCTCAGCACTTGCCAGCTTCAATCCACTAAAAGAACAACCAGGTAGGCTGAGAACTCCATGATTGTGACACAGCATTTTGGGATGAACATCTTTTTGAATGACTCTTACAGTTGCTGTCAAACTGTCTAACAGAAAATTGTTTTCCATCAGTAAAATGGCAATTACATAGAAGCAAAATGTAAATGAAAGCATACTGACTTTGACACATCCTTTTAAACATCATTGTGAAAATTTGTTTCAGAGAACATTTCTCTTTTTTTGCCTTTTTTTTTTTGCTCTTCCCTTTTAAACATCATTGTGAAAATTTGTTTCAGAGAAAATTTCTCTTTTTTTGCCTTTTTTTTTGCTCTTTTTTTGGAGGGGGGCAGAAAGGAAAAAAATAATCACAACTGTATAAAACAGCAAATTAATTTCCTGCTGTTCTAGCAATAGTAGCTGATCAAATTCCACAGCAAAAACATTTTCCACTTATGTTGGGTTTCATCTGCTCTATCATTGTGAAAATTTGTTTCAGAGAAAATTTCTCTTTTTTTGCCTTTTTTTTTGCTCTTTTTTTGGAGGGGGGCAGAAAGGAAAAAAATAATCACAACTGTATAAAACAGCAAATTAATTTCCTGCTGTTCTAGCAATAGTAGCTGATCAAATTCCACAGCAAAAACATTTTCCACTTATGTTGGGTTTCATCTGCTCTAACATAGGTATCTAAAGTTTATGTCTGACTTAGAGATTCCTCCTAGGACAGTCAATGAGATAAGAACCTCCAGAGGTCCATTAACTGTGTCCTGAGGTAGATGTCTGAGACAGATCAGACTGGGATGCTGAGACTGAGGGTCTGACAGTGCCTGGCTCAAACACTGATGCCTGCTTTCCAGAGCTGGGTGAGAGCAGCATATTCAGGGAGCTGTCCATCTAATTCCGCTCGGGTTGAGGCCACAACTGTTTTCCAAAAAATGGTTCTCTGTCTCCTATTAAAATACTGCCATAATTCCAGAAAACCACAGCTGTGTTGCTGTGGAGCAGGGGATTTGAACTGAAGGATATACATTTTTCCCAAACATTTAAAAAATCCTTCTATGTCATATTTCTATCCATGTAGTGCAATAGCAGCTTTAACCTCTAACACAACTGGTCATGTAAGCTGCAGTGCAGTATAACAAAGCAAAACAGCATCTTTTCCTATGGCTATGGATATATCATGAAACAAAGCAGGCCATGGAACACCCTCTGGACCTGGAGCCAATGGCCAGGGACTGCTCCTGGGACCAAACTAACTGTGACACAGCTTTCCCCTATGGGGCTCTTCCCTCTGGAACTGGATGGCCTTGTCCAACATGCCTCTTGGGAATGACCCCTGACTTTCACTGTCCTCTAAGATAGGCTTAGGAATTTCTTGGAAAAATGCTAACTCTGCAAGGGAGTATGCCAGCAATGAAGAAGTGCACACAACCATGCCTTGTCCTTGTTTTCAGTAGATGCAGCACCAGAATATTTTTTCACAGACTAAAGGAAAATGGACAAAGGGCTCAAAGACAAACCTGGGTGAGCCTCTTCATCAAAGGCAACCACACTGTCCAATTTACCACTATGTAGAAACTTACTACTTCCCTGTGGATGCAAATTAGATTTATTTTGCCTTCCTTTCTTCTCCCCTCCCCCTGCTAGCTCAAGATTATCCAGACACTCTCTTTTTGATATTTCGAAACTTTTAATTTCTATCTTCAGTTTATGGCCAGGTTGTACCAGTGGTTTCCTGTGTCAGTTTTGCTCTTCAGTCAAAATAGTTCTTCGCTCTCTCAGGGATTCATCCTGTAATGCATTTATAGAGAAGCAATCACATTTTCTCTTCCTTACAGTGTAAAGTTAAGCAAGTGAGACTGACTGTTGGCTATGGATT